TATTTGAGTGAACCTAAGCGTGCCTGTTTGTTCCTTCGAGAGCCCTATATCCCTCTCTCATCCATTTTAAGACAGTGCAGTATGGGCAATATTGTGGATGCTATACCGTTCTGTGGTGTTGAAAAGTGAACTGAGCCGAAAGGCAAAGCTTTTGACTTACCTGTCAATCTACGTTCCTACCATGACCTATGGTCACGAGCTTTGTGTAGTGACCAAAAGAATGAGATTGTGGGTACAAGCAGCAGAAATGAGTTTCAGGGTATCTGTGCTCAGCCTTAGAGACAGGGTGAGGAGCTCTGACATTCAGGAGGAGCTCAAAGTAGAACTGCTGCTCCTGCACATCGAAAGGAGCCAGTTGAGGTTGTTCAGGTACCTATCAAGGACTCCTAGACACCTTAGTGGGGAGGTGTTTTAGGCATGCCCAACTGCGAGGAGGCCCTGGGGCAGACCCAGGACACACTGGACAGATTATATCACTCAGCTGTCCTGAGAATGCTTTAGCATCCCCCGATGGAGCTGGAGGAGGTGGCTGATGAGAGGGAGGTCTGGGCATCTCTGTTTAGACTATTGCCCCCACAACCCAACCTCAGATAAGAGGCAGATGATGGATGGATAGATGGATGGACCACATACGTACTTTCTTCAAAGTAACAAAAACATCAAGCAAAGCGTGTTAATAAGGAGCCAACTTAAGCATTTTCTTATGAGGTAGCCTAAGAAAAAAGTAAGCAGCACCTAATGGGTAGAGATGAAGATCAAAAATCTAAGCGTTACTTTCATCTTATTGAAGTGCGTCATTTAACTCTGATTAACTCTGCATCAACATCAATATTTTAAATCGACGCATCGTTTTTAAAAATTATTTTAATAAAATTACCTTTATGAGTTCTAAAACGCTTCAATTCATTATAACTAATGTTTTCCTTTAATATCACTACATAACTATGGGAGTACTTCAAATTATTTATTAAAAAACAAAAAGGTGGTTTTACACTGTGCAAAGTGCCATGACATACTACAGGGGCACTAGCGCTATGTATGAGCACCTGAAGAGGAAACGCACTCTATTATGAATGATGGGTGGACCATTTTATTAAATTAGCATTAGAACAGAGAGCTTTTTAATATCTTTTGTCATTGTAGCTCCTAAATACACGCATTATTAAAGCCATTACAACTTTAATCCAGTCAGTGTAAGTGTGTGGCTCAGTAGCCAGTATTTGGTCTTGTAAGCAACAGGTTGCTGGTTCAAATCCAGTTTCAACTAAGTAACTGCTTGTTTATGGGCCCTTGAGCCATGAAAAATAATGAATGTACAGAGTTGCTATATTCTCAAATTACTTTTTGTAGTTTTGTGAACAACACCATTTATTAAACAAACAATTCTGCATTGGCAGAATGAAAAATTAAAAATGAAAATAAACTATTAGTTAAGAAATATTCC